TTTGACAGTAAATTAAAGACAAAATATTGTGTTTTCATTATACAAATCTATTTTTGTAGAAAGTATTTAAATTTTTACTTAAAATTTAATTTTAAAATAGTTTATCAAAAATTCTCGCATAATTTTTTGTTTCTCCTAATATATATCTAGATATCTAAAAATAATATATATAATGTTTAGCCAATTATATTAAATGGATTCAATTTAACTTGGTTTACACCTAGTAATTTAAACACCTACATCTGTATTTAAACTCTTTATTGAGTTTTATTTAAATGCATAATGTGTGCTTATTCTTGGTCTATGACAAATGTTATTATTAATTTTATATGAATTTTAGTCATTAGAAGTATTCTTAGCGATACTAAATAATGTTAAAAATCATTTATGACATTAAACTTAAATAATAATTAAAGTGTTAGAACTCATAAAATCGACCTAAAATTAATATTTTCATGATTTCCATATCAAGTGCTATAAAATATTATGAATGAATTTTAATATTAACATATAAATAGTTTCTAAGGCTAAAAATACGTCTAATGATTAAAACTCATATGAAAATATATCATACTTTAATTTTTTACATTTTTTACAGGGGTTCTTTATTTTTGTGGACAATATTATAAAAATAATACAATCAGTATGGAAATAATACCGATACAAATACTATCTAAACATCGTTTACAAGATTTACAACAATTAAAATCATATGCATTTCATAACATAATTTGTATTTTAATGAACGATAAAATTTATAAAATAACTAAAAAACATAAAATTAAAAAAACAAATTATAATAATTTCATCGACTATTACGCAAATGAATTTCAGTTAACTTATAATACAATTAATTTGAAAGAAATGAACATTTATTATAAAAATCATTTCATTGAGATGACAACCATAGGCTTCGGTACTTTCGGGAAAGTATTTAAAGTAAAGCATAGATTGGATGACATGATATATGCCGTAAAAAGAATACAATTTCAAAGTAAAAGTTAATGGTTAATTTCCATATAAATTATTTTTAACAAATTTTTTAATACATATTAAATTTTTATAGATTTCAATGAAGAAATGAAACAAAAAAAATTAAAAGAAGTAAAAAATTTAGCAAAATTAGACTCAGATTTTGTGGTGAAATATTACCACTCGTGGGCAGAAGGGAAACACCTGTACATACAAATGGAGTACTGCCCGAAAACACTCGGTTCTCTGCTCAAAGACAAACAACGAGTATTTAGACGACAAGTGGGGGAACCCTTGAATATATTTGAATATTTCATTTCATGCGAAATATTTCGGGAGCTCCTTCTATGTCTTCAATATCTCCACCAATTGATGCCTCCAATTATTCATCGCGATATAAAACCCGAAAATATATTAATTTTACATAACATAAAAAATAGCACATTTATTAAGCTTGGTGATTTTGGTTTGGCAACAGAACATGAGAAACCTTCTCAAAGCCATACCCGTGGGGTGGGAACTACGAAATACATGGCACCGGACGCAGCGCACCTCAAATACGACTGCAAAGTAGATATTTATAGTGCTGGGGTTATTGCAATGAAATTATTTGAAATAAACACCGAGTCACAAATGTAAGTGATATATATGCTGAAAGATGAGTTGAAATCTAAAATTTCTTTTATGTTAATTATAATTTTGTATTTTTAACTAATATTGATATAATTTTGTTGTTTCGTTAAATTTGATTTATGTAAAAATTAAATACTTTAGATTATATTTATATGCTTTAGGTAAGCAGATCCTAAAGGATTATGCAGATTACTCTTGCGTTAACTCCATTTTAGGGGGACTAGACGACTTTCTAATCCCCCCGAAACGACAAATAGCCCTAGCCCTTCCTTTCATTAGTTATGCCCTTTACATGATTCATACTTATAGATAGATTAGCAATGACAAATATAAAGGGCATAAGTAGTGACGAAAGGCAGGGCATGCGTTAAAACGCATGCGCCAACTTAACGCAAGAGTAATGCAAATTATATCTTGACAGTCGATCACTATATGTATAATTTATAGTGCGGATTTGTACGAAGGTTTGTACGAAAATAGTGTTATGCATCACTTAAGAATAGTGAAGTATACTGTAAGTGTATTAAAACACATACACGATGTTTTGAGTAAACATGATGTTAGTGCAAATCATGATAAGGATTAATTTCAAGGCACATGATTTATACCTGATATTGACTAAAATTCAAAACATGTGTTATTCACTATCCAGTGTTTGAGTTCATTGTTTGCTATATTTTATGTAAAAATAGTTTTGATATTATTTGTTATAAAAATGTTTTGATTTACAAAATAATAAGTAAATTAAATTAAATAAAGTTTGTGTGAAATAATAAACAAAATTCAGTGTATTTTGACTACAAATAATAGTGTTTTGTGTAAAACGATTGAATGCGAAAATAATGATGATTTTTCAATCAATCAAACAATTGATTACAATTTAGGTTAATTCAGTGATAAAATGCTAAACAATTGTCATATTATGACTTAATTTTGTGAATTAATTAACAAAAATCAGTGCATTTTGAATACAAATAATTGTGTTTTGTCTGAAGCGATTGAATGCGAAAATAATAATTGTTAAATTTAATCAAACTATTTAGAAATTATCTCATTTATTATTAAATGTTTTGCAATTATTTCATTGTAACTAAATTTTTATTGTGGAAATAACAATTAAAACCGGTATATGAAATAATCGCAATGAGTTTCTAAATATTTTTCTAGTGATGCATAACACTATTTTCGTATAAAATTCGTACAAATCCGCGCTTTGTGTATAAACATTATATACACTGTATTTTATATTTATATATTTTTTTAGAGATCCCGAAAAATACATAATAACATCGTTCTCGGATAAATTTAAATATGTATCTGATATAATTATGTTAATGGTTGAATATATAGCTTCCAAACGGCCTACCAGTGACCGGCTACTAATGGAACATAGCCAGTGGTCAATCGACAGATATATGATTACTGAAAATGATACTGAATTTAATGAAATACTAAATATACTAGAATCTCATACTAATAAATTATTCTACGAGTTATTATTGTGCAAATCTAAAATGGTTGATGAAAAACAAAATGATAACTTAAATGATAAGTCTACATTAACAAATGAATACGATCTCGTTGAAGCCACACATCTAAATATTGTGCACGATATTAAACTTATTAATAAGCTTATGGTAAATTTCTAAACATATTGATTTATATATAATTTAGATATAATTTATAATATTAAATGTTAATCGTAATACAGAGTTGGGCATATATAGCTAGAGTTTTAAATTAAGCGCTATTTGAATACCAGTAGAGATACGGACGTCAATCAAAGTTTGTTTTAATCACAAAAGTGTATAGTTTTTTTAGCACATGTTTTGATTTAATTAAAATGCCGTCTACAAAAACTGTGGACACAACCAAACAGAGTATCGATATCNTTAGCACATGTTTTGATTTAATTAAAATGCCGTCTACAAAAACTGTGGACACAACCAAACAGAGTATCGATATCATCGAGCTGTACATCGAGAATGCGCGATCGGCTGCGGTAACCTTGCGCAAATTAAAGGCAAGGTATGGGCAAAGTGTGACCTTAACTTTGACCACAATCACCCAGTCAGTTTTTGAGGGGAGGGCTTTTTTACCCGTAAATCCGTCGGTTCGTCGGTCCGTCGATAATTTATAATTAACTTAATTTATTAATATTATATATGAATTCGATGTAGAATTTAACGTTGAGTCTGAATTTGAAATTTAAAAATTTTTATCTCAAATATTTTTCGAGTTGTTCGACTTAGAAGATTCGACCGATGCACCGGTTTTTTGTCATTCGTTTACGGAATTTGATTGTGTGCGAGGGTGGTCACTTTGAGAACCTTATCCATTAATTCCACTAAAACTATCATTATTTTTAAATAAAACAAAATTTACTTGGACAAAATATCTCAACTCTAAGTATTTTTAAAAAATTAATTAAAACTCTAGCTCTTTATGCCCAACCCTGTAAATACAATTTAATGCATAATTAGAATGAATATATTTCGGGAATGGATACCCTAAATAATATATCCGAAAGCACTGAAATGGCCAACCATTCAAGCGATGTTATTAATTCATTAGTAGCAAAGTTTGGGCTAAATAAGCAAACGACCAATCCGTCTGTGATTCGGGAATTGACGAAACAGTTTATCCGCACTCTGGAAGCACTCAAACAAAAGGACGTGGAAAATACAAACCGACACACCAAAACTATATCTAACGTAATTGAATTGATTAAAGAGTTTAAGCAGGATATTGGCCGCTATGTTAACCCTGGAGATTATTTATCGGAACATAATTTACGTAAAATTATTGATTGCAAACGCGAGTATATTACTAGTGTATTTGATAGATTAGCCTCCGATTATCCAGGCCAGCTTGCCCAACAAAAAAACTGGGTAACATTATATTGTATAAATTACATTATTTTCAAGATTTGAATTTAGTATGTTGTCTGATTATTAATTGTTTAATAACATTCAATTAGTTTATAAACGAATTGGAAAGAGAAGAATATATGTTTAAAAGTAATAACAGTCAAGCGATACATGATTTAATCACAAAATATAATATCGTAATCAATAAATGCAAAGCACAATATGACCAGGTTTACTTTTACCATGATAAAACAAAAAAAACAAAATAATATAAATTTATTTACTATACAGAAAATGAACGAGTTATTCGAAGATGAAAACAAATTTTACCCAAACGAACGCCTGGAAACTCTAAGCGCTGACATATTGAGAATTTTGGCCGACGAGCTAACACAGGCCGATGTGGCCACTGAAGTGGTGCCAATCGAGTCCTACAGACAGTCGTTGGACACATACGTGAGGGACAGGTATCGCAACTATCGCGAGATTAACCGTCTGCGAGCCGACAACGACAGGACAGCGATGGATGTAGTGTCGCGTAATCTCACCTATCTCTATGAGCACGCGTTGAGCGACTGGATTCAATTAACGGACACTGTGGACAGGCGATTATATATGGACGAGAGTCGACTCCTACGGACGCGAATTGTGTCGGAGAATATGCCAATATATCGACATCGGCTGGATCTCATGGATTTGAACAATATGTTTGATCAAACCGAACGGGAGATGTTGGACGTGTTTGACGAAACTGTTATTCATCGACATGTAATGTTAAACCATCTGTTAGACCGAGTGATAGAATGGTATAACCGAGAAATGGAGCAGGAGTATGACAACCGTACGTATATACGGCCCGATCGTTTACACACAATTCACCAGAAACTTGTTGCGCGTGCTGTGGCAAAATTTAAACCTGATCGTGGTTATTTACCGATTGATACGTTAAAGAAAAAAATCCAAGATACACTAGGCTACAGCATAAATAAGATAAAGGATCAAAACTTTCGAAATACTCCAACTATTCCATCCATTGGCATTGATTTAGGCACTACAAACAGTAGTGTGGCTTATTATAGACTCAGTGACACAGGTCAATCTAGCAGAATTGTTGTCTGCATTAACAGCAACAGTAACAACAATAACGATGTGACCCCCAGTTGTGTTGAGTATAAAACCAACGGAGATGTAGTGGTGGGCGAAGAAGCGAGAAATAATTTGTTGGGTAACTTTCGTAACATTATTCATTCGGCTAAACGTATGATTGGCCGTTTGTTCAATGATTCAGAAGTCACCAGATATAGACAGTATTGGCCTTTCGATGTCGTCAATATTGATGGCAACGCCGGCGTTGAAGTTGATGTGAACGGAGAGTTGCGGCAACTGTTGGCCGAAGAGGTGTCGGCGGATGTGTTGCGCAAAATTAAAGAAGTAGCCGAGAAAGACATCGGGTGCCCGGTGATCGATGCGGTTATAACTGTGCCTGCTTACTTCACTGATGCACAGCGCGAAGCCACCCGAGGGGCAGGTATTATGGCCGGTTTGAACGTATTGTCTATTATTGATGAGCCCACGGCCGCCGCTCTAGCTTATAAACTTGACCGATTTGACCGCATGGGTACCAGGTTAGTTTTATTTGCATTTTAAAAATAACATACAAGCTATTTAATACATGCTCATAATAAAGTTAACTAATCATTTATTGTAATTCTTATTTTAATTATTAAACTTTAAATTAAAGTTATATTTATTATTAATTTAACAAAATGAACATAATTAAAGAACCGTGCTCATATACGACTTTGGCGGGGGTACATTTGATGTGGGTATATTGCGCTTTTCAATGGGTAAAGTAACGGTGCTGGCCGTCGGAGGCGATAACTCACTGGGCGGTGACGATATCGATCAGAATATTATCGATCACTGTTTGCGTGAGTTTTACGCTCAAACGGGAGTTATGTTGGACCGGAACAGCGTTGAGGGCGATCGGGCCTATCGGGTCCTTAAACACCGCTGCGAACGGGAGAAGTGGCGTCTGTCCGCAACGACTGCTGCCACTATAGCCGTGGACAACATCGCCGACGGTCATTATCTGAAGGTCGAGTTGACCAGAATCAAATTTGAAGAATTGAACAAGGAGCTCTTTGACCGTAGTATGGAGTGCGTAACTCAAACGTTGGAAAGTGTAAATAACGGCAAAGGTATGTCACCCGACGAGATCGACGATATAGTACTGGTCGGCGGCTCGACGTATATCCCGTACGTCCAGAATATGATCAAAGATTACTTCAATGGCCGTCAGCCGTCGCAGTCGGTGAACCCGATGCTGGCCGTGGCTCAGGGCGCGGCACTACAGGTCTCAAATTAAAAAAGTTTTATTTTTAATCTAACATAACATCGTTTTAACAAAGGCGGCAATTCTCAATGGAAACGCAGCTCATTTGGGACATTATAATAGATTATTAGAAGTTACACCATACACTATTGGCATAAAGGAGAAAGGTGACGTTATGAGGCCTATAATACCAGCCCACTCCCCCGTGGATGGCATTTCCCGTATTCGGATCTACAAAACTGTATGCGACAATCAAACCGAGATCGAGGTGGAGGTGTTTGAAGGCGAGGACCCGATAGCTACTAATAACACTTTTTTGGGCCGGTTTGTTGTGATTGGAATACCGCCAGATAATGCGGGCAAACAAAATGTACTACTTGAGTTTTGCGTTAACGATGATGGTAATTTGAAAGTTAAGGCCGTAGTTTTATCTCAAGGTACGGTCACGGAACACGAAGTACGCAAATACAAAGGCCGTTTGTCTATGGATGAAGTATTAAGGCGCCGATGGTTTTGATGGTGTTATTTTGTATATAAAGTTTTAATATTAATATCATTTACTTTATTTTTATCATTCACTAACTAGTGAAGTATTAGTCTTCATTATGGCGGATTTTGATCAAATTAGTTATCAAAACAGCGTATATCAATGCAGTACTGGCCCAAACAATGTATGAAACACAGTTTATCAATGCTATACGCCTTATACGCGAAATCACAAGATTGGCCATACCTCGGTCGTTTATGGCTATCAGCTCGTAATATTGAATTTATATTTTTAATTTGGACTAATCTACTATTTAAAACTAATTTCATCGAAATCCGCCGTAATGAAGACTTATACTTCACTCGTAAGTATTAAGTATCTATAATATTAAAAACCAAATGTAATATAACATTATATGATTTATAAATATCATTATTATAAATTATACTCATTGTCGTTTAATTATTTGCGAGTAAACTCTATGAAAGTCAGCAAAATATATTTGCAAACAAATTAAATTCATAGAAAATCAGCACAATTAATGGAAAGATCATAAGTAAGTAACTTCAATAAATAATTTTAATTAATTTGTAATCAAATAAATTTTAGTTCAATTATTAGAATAATTGTTAAGTTAATTAGTATTAGGTCTACGGCTGATGTTAATAAATGCTCTGTCACAATTAGCTTACCTTCTAAACAAGGATCACATAAACAAAACTAATAAATTAATATTATTATAACATTTAGATTTTAAAAAAATTATTTTCTTATTGAATTGTATTTAAAAACATTAAGTTGAATGGAATTTATTAAAGTAATTAAAAATATTTGTGTATTTTACATAATGCAAAATTAATTAGTTTGTTTTCTTAATTCAACTTGCTCATTTATCAAAACCAACTGAGCTTGATATTCATCTATCTCGTCATAAGAGGTTTCTTTTAATGAAATTAAATATCGTTCAAAACCAACCAATTGCATGACCAGATCTGATTTTTCTTCATTTTGCAACTGTAATCCTCTGACAGCCCGCTTTGTCCGTATATAATTAGTCGCCAGTTTAGCTTTAAGTACTTTCATTTGATCGCTTAAAAACGACACACGTTTTGGCACAGTTTCAATAATCTTTTTTTGTTGACTTAACTCTCTGCTAAGCAAATGTTTATTAAAGCGGTCGTCGGGTGGCGTATTGGTTGACATAGAGTCGGCCATTACTTGAAAACTATTGGCCATCAATTGTCGACGGAATTGCCCGATGGGTGCGCCTGTGATTAAATAATAAAAATTTAAACGTTTGTTGGTTTTGATTTAATACTATTTACCATGGTAAGTCGTATTTTTGCCATCATTAACCGCCAGTGCGCTAACATTATATCTGCCGGCGCCGCTATAGTCGGTAAAATATGCGTAATAATAGCCAGAGTTGTGATACAAGTTTAACGGGATGTCAGTCTGAGTACCGCCCGGTCTGTCCACTGTTGCCGTCACTATAGCGCCGACTATCGGGTCATTGCCTTTACACAGTTTGCAGGTAATTAACGGCGGGTAATTATCCTCCGGTTCGCGCACAAATACTTGCAATTCAATGGCTTGAGCGCCGATAGGGATGCACTCGACCATTACATTTACCACAACTGGTTCTGAGGTTTCTTTTATTAGTTTAATAATCCATAGACCAGATTGAGTCGATTCTAAGTATAATCTAAATGCTGTGAAATCTAAGGTTGTTACAGCATTTTCGTCACTTGTAGTACTATATACGACACCCGACGGAGCAATGATTTTTACAGTTAAATAGTCCATATTATCAGAGAGAACGTGGAAGTGGGTATTGAATTCGATGTCGGCCTCAATGGGCACTCGAGTCTCATATGTGTTGCCATTTATGACCACAACTTCATTGACAACAGTATGAGTGACCACTTCTGCCATTTCTTTACTGGTGATAACCTCTTCCATCGAGGTTTCCATTACTCGGGCCATCATTTCGCGTCTCTCGGGGTCCATACGGCTCGGTTTTTCTTCATATCTGGTTAAGTCCGGCTGTCTCTCGCGTTTAACGATTGCGCTACTCTTATTAGTTGCATTGCCCATAAGCCTTATATAATATTAAATTTTATTTGATTAGCAAATTTTATATGACTAACATAATCATAAGCTTAAACTAATTTCATTTTTATTTAAATTATTAAAATATTATTTTAATTTGTATAGAAACTATAATTCATCTTATTCTTATTTGTTAATATTTTTAAATAAAATATATTCCAAACATTTCTGTGTATCTTATGTCAATTGAATTATTGTCTACTAGATGGAAACACCTCTACATATATTAATTATTTTCAAATTGTACGCACATTGAAATTAATACATTTAACTAATATATTTAATTGTTCCTAATTGTTTAAACATAAGTATAAATACATAAATAACAAAATTTAATTTACCTGCCGTTATATTGTTATTCCTATTAATATTTGAAGCTAAATATATGTAACATATGTAACATTAGTAAATTGTTAGAATTATAAAAAATATTTTGAATTGTAATTTTTAGCAATAGCGCTAGTTATTATATTAGTTATTGTTTTGATATGGCAGACAAAAATTGCATTGGTTACTATGTTTATTCGATGTTATCTTAATGATTAATCATTTATTATACCTTATGTAACTTACCATAACCGTATTACTCTCCATCTACAGTTTAAGTATGTTACTATATTTACCTGCATTAATCACAATTACACAATATTAAATTAGTAAATGTTTTACATGTAGTCTCACAAACAGAATAACATTATAAGGAAATTTTTATGGGGATGGCATTAACATGGTTAATGATAACTCTATAGCAATTTAAATTCTATGGACAATGTTATGTCTAATACGATGTTGTGTGAAAATTATTTGTGTATTTTTGAAAAAACCAATTATTTTTAAATTTATGTTACAATTTTAAAGCATATATTTTAATGGATTTTGATAAAACAACTTATTCTTTAAAATATGTCATATAGTACACTATGTGCAATTCATCCCACCATTCACTCAACAGTATACAACTGAATGTTATGTAATAATTGCATAATATGAGTGGTCAGCCAAACAGTACGTCACTCAATTACACTATTGAATCATTTTTATTAATAACATTTTGAATCTTTGTTAGTGTAATTGAGTGACGTACTGTTTGGCTGACCACTCATATTATGCAATTATTACATAACATTCAGTTGTATACTGTTGAGTGAATGGTGGGATGAATTGCACATAGTGTACTGTAAATCTTCAAATATATATTATGTTGCAATCATTAAATAAGATTTTAGCATATATTAAATGTAGCATTATTAAATAAATATTTATTCGTAATGTTATAAATTAAGAATATAAATGCCAACAAAATATAAACAAAATTTATAATATTGATTTATTGACACAACTTTTTGATATTTTGAAATAAATTGATATTAAGCCGAGAGAGAGAGAGAGAGAGAGAGAGAGAGAGAGAGAGCCATTTATTTGTATTTGA